ACTTTCCATGTTGGACCAAAAAACGTAAGCGTTCAGGATGGCAATTTGCTATCAATTACACCCCTTTGGCCAAGATGACTGTTCCCTCATTGGTAGTATTACCACTCGGTCTCTATTTCCTAAAGTGTTGGGTTTAACTAGTGTCCTCCGATCATGAATTGATGTGAACACTTGTGCAATCTGTGTACAATACTCCCAGCTGAATAAGCATATAGATTACGCCCTAACGTCAATAGGACCGTCGAACCGGAGGAGATAATTCTGGAGCTGGCGTTGTGGTATATGTCACCGTTTCTTGGTGTGGCAAGTCCTATGTTAATTTTCAGTACTGCTCAAAAAGTACTGAGTGCCTGAGCGTGCAATGCAACCCTTCTTAACTAAAACATAGGCTTCAGTGCTTGCAGAAGTTATGCACAATACAATACAATACAACACAATACAATATATGTTGTTTGGGGTTGTCTGTTTCACATCGCAAATCAATTTATTTCTGCTGCATTGTTTTTTTCTCCATTGATAACTGTCTTATATTGCTTATAATGATTTTACTGCAAAGAGAGATTCAGCAGTTTAACCGACCGTTCACAAGGCTTTGCTCATACAATAAATAGTGAACGACCGTTATTTTACCACAGATCAAGACATACTTTGTATTTTCCCCTAAGCGAATTTTATGAATCACTGTTCTTATTCATTTCCACGTCTTCAACACGTTTGCTTAAATGTGTTCTGATAAAGGACAGACTTCAGTATCCAATTTAGCTGCTGTTGTATCTAGTCCGTTTATTTCGCCACCACAGTTACATCATATTTCCTCAGTTTTTAAAACGTATTGCTAACTGTCAGTCAGTCTTCCGTTTTATCACAGCCATTTTCCGGGCACTTTTTTGTGCATCGATTCTAGTTATTGCTCAGTTGCTTGATTCAAGTTGAGGGAGTATATGAGGGAGTTATGAAGCCTAGGTCGGTGTCAAGGATAAAGCCACGGAACTCAATGTATAACGAGAAACAGACACAAAGAGTTTGATTTAGTCCTGCATTATCATCCTGTATTTGTGTACATTTGAGGGATCAAGATCTACTATGATTTCTTTAAGACCATTTGTATCAACTCTGACAGTTTCTGCAGCTAAATTTAAGTGTTATTTGTTAACAAACAAAAAATACAAACAAACAGGAAACTCCTATACAGTTTGATATATATATATATAATACCGTTTTGTAGAAAAGCATGGTGTGAAAGCCACAACAGTAATAACAATAACCATAATAGGGGGCAGGTGGATTGGGATACAGAGCAAAGTGAAGAGAGGGTCATTGATCGATTAGACATGTCATTCTTAGAATAGATTGCCCCGGTTGATCCATCCGTGATCTAGGCGCATGAATAGTTTGTTTCCTGGAGTTTATGAAATCCTACAGTAAACTCTCAATGCAGCTTACCGATAGTCTACTAGAAATGACATCGACCGTTGAGAAATGCAATATGTATTGTTCCGTCACAAGGGTTGTTTTCCATACGTTCTTCGAATTCAGCCATTACCGCATTCTCCAAACGAAAAGAACCTGTGATTTATCGTTCGTAAAGGCTCTAGGATGTACCACATATTGTGTTAGGGCGTCATCACAGGCCATAAACAAGTTGGATTACTAAAACGTGTTTTTGTATGATTCGAATCAGACCTATTGTACCGTTTGCTATCAGCATACATTAGACCACACACCGAGTATGCCACACAGGCTTGGACTCCGTGACTTATTCGCGACCAAAAGGCACTCGAACGTCCGCCGAGAACAGCAATCAAAATGATCAAAGGGTTACAATCTAAAACCTACAGTAAAAGGCTGCGAATTCCCGGGTTCTATTTGTCTGAATACTGTCGAATACGAGACATACGAGATATGATTCTCTTCAATCAAATACTAAATCAGTCTACCCACCTGTGTAGTATTCCACTGACACTATCGTGTAATGGTCAACTCAGAGGACATATATTTAAACTTTCGCCGCAAAAGAGTCGGTTAGACTAGACTCAGTAGATGTCACTCTTTCAGCCTCAGAATTTGTAATAACTGTAACTCTCCTCCATCTCAAGTTGTTTGTGTTCCAAACATCGATTCATTCAAGTCACGGATCGATTGAAACACCTGACTGCTCAGCACCTGTGAGTAAACGTTATAATTTGCTATTTAATTGTACTGCCAACCCAACCAAGCAGGTACAGACCCTACGGGATTCAATAAGCATCAGTTTTGTAACTTACCCATAATATAAGTTTGAATTTGAACATTTGAAATTCGAAGTGATAATGCGTCATCTTTGCGAAGTATGCACTGGCATACGGTGATCATGTTTGTCAGGGATGCTTTTGCTACGATCCAATCGCACAATAACTCTTTAATAGCTCTCTAACAATCAGATGAACAATTAGATCAAACGCTTGCCCAAAGAGCCTAGTGCTTTCCCCCGACTGGCGTTTTCCCGTCTCCCTGTCGATTAGTTTACTGATAAATGACATAAGCATTTTCCCATCATCCGTTTCCTCTGAACACCAACTGAGGGTCCATTACATACGGATGGTGTTTTTATTAAAAAAACAACCTAAATAATTTCATTGTTTTTTTAATTATTGTACAGGCAGTGACTGCCAGACATACGGACTTCCGTGAACTCGGTCGCCGCATTTGCGAGAAAGAATGTCTTCAGAAAGTTACACCGGAACTGCGTGGTGAAATTTCTCACTGGGTTATTGAACGGTCCACTCGATTGGCCATATCCCGACTGGAGCTGGCCGCGGCAACAACAAAAGAGATCACCGAAGCCGTCGGGGGTGAGGTTATCAACGAGGCTATGGATGAGACGGCACTGGAAGTACAAGCCCAGAAAGAGGCAGAAGAAGCGGCCGCGAATGCAGAGAATACGGTAACTTCCGCAATTACTGTGTCCAATCTTTTGATTTCGTCCCAACTCATAGTCCGTGCACGTGAACCCCGTAATCTCTTCTGTGCCGTATAGGATCGAAATTGCCTCGCGATCCCATACAACATTATCGGGGAGAAGAATACAAATTGATCGCGCTTATCTTGCTCTGAAAAAGGAAAAAAAATAGACCGGTTCAACTGACAATTATCGACATCCACACAGAGAGCATCCGTGTTGTTTAGCTGTCGACCACTGATTGTAATTTACACGTACACGTTTTAGATACACGGGCAGAGCTTCTGTATAATCCCAATCAGTACATTTCGTTCATTTTCATTTAAAACATCGAGTTGGACATTTCATCCCAGATGTTTAATTTCCAGCTAAGGTGACGTGCTTTGTTAAATTTTGCTTCAATTTTATTAAATAACTCTTTGTAAAAACATTTGGGGGCAAGAGAATAGAGTTGTGGGATTTTTGAACCATTATCGTCTGGAATGAGATGAGGGAGAATAATATCACTTGTCTGTCTGTCTGTCCGTCTCTCTCTCTCTCTCTCTCTCTCTCTCTCTCTCTCTGCGCGTCCGAACCCAAAGTAATAAAGTTCACATCTAGGCTGGTGGAGAAACGCTTAGCTCCTCTAGGCTAACTAGCAATACTGATTTTGATCAGAAATCGAGCGTCGACAAAACGAGGTTGACCAAATGGTTTTATGTGTTTCGTTGTTACTTTCTAATTGTGAACGAGAATCGTGAAGTGATAACCGTAATTAACCAATGATGGCTCGGTTATTTCCATATTTATTAGTTATTAATATTTACTCACCTGTGAGGAAATCGGGTAATTTGTAGCCTAGAGGAAAATGTAAGGTACTAATATATAT